ATCTGCATGAAGTTTGGAGTTTTGCTGACAAAGAAGCTCAGATTACAGTGGCAGCATGATTTCAAATGTCACTCAAATGTGCCGGAATAGACTGGAACTGGGCACCAGCAGGAAGTGCAGTTCTATCCACCATATTCCAGGGAACCAAGAAATAACACTTTTTAATTCTGAGCTTACACATCCTGTGTGTAACTTGATAAAGTGTTTTTTTTCCAGAACATCTCTTCAGTTATTTTCTTTATCAAATTACTAAAATTTATCAGGTAGAGATATCTGTAAGAAAATTGTCTTGCAGTGTAGTTTTACATTTTCTCTTTCCATTTAATTCCCCAATGTAAAATAATAATATAGAAATAAAATAATTGCAATAAATGCCATATCTTAATATTATTGTAATATCTGAGAGATTATTGAAGACCACATCCGGTGTGACTTTCCTTAAGGGTGGAGACTACTCTCTGGCCAGTCTGCTCTAGTGTTTGACCATTCTTAGTTTTTTCTTATGTTTAAATGTAATATCCAGCATTTTAGTTTTGCCCACTGCCTTTTCTCCTTTCACTGGATACCACTGAGAGGATCTGTCTCTTTTTTTCTTTGTTCCCTCTACCCCACCAAACTTTTATATTCATTTATCAGCGTCCCCTAAGCCATTTCTTCTCCAGGCTAAACTGTCTTAGCTCTCAATCTTTCCTTGTATGGCAAGTGTTCCAGTCTGTTATTCATCTCTGTAGCCTTATGTTGGTCTCAATCTAGTATACCCTGTCTCTCTCTAGGGAGTCTGGATCTCAACCAATCATGCCAGTGCCTTGCCAATGCCAAGTACTTAGCAAGGATGGCCTCCCTGAAATATAGGCCATGTTCTGTCTAATGAGGCATAGCTGATTAGCCTTACAGAAGATATACTGGTTCCTGAGTGGATACAGAATTTCATGCTTTCCTTATCTGAACATTACAAAGTTCCTGTCAGCTCACTTTTGCAGCCTATTGAGGTCCTTCTGAATAGCAGCATAATCCACTCATCTATCAACTAATCCTGGCAGTATTATCTGCAGACATACTAAAGGTCCATTTTGTCTTCTCATCCAGCTAATTATTGCAAATACTAAACAGTATTGGTGCTACTATTGAACCCTGGGATATAATGCTGGTAACTTTGCTACAGCTGAACTTCATATCTTCAATCAGTCCAACAGCTCAGACATTTTTCATTCTTTCTCATTGTCTATTTACTATTATTTTTTTCTTAGTATGACTTTCAAGATTTACTCTGTTACTTTCCCAGGAATAAAGTCAGTGCTGACCAGCCGTTATTTCCCAAGACCCTCTTTTTTTGAAGAGTGATGTTGGTTTTCTTTCAGTTCTTAGGAGCTTCACCCCCACATACTTTTGTAGATAGTTGAGGATGGCAAACATCCTCAGCTCCTTCAATACTTGTGAATATATTTCATGAGGTGTCCCACAGAATTCTGCGTGTGCAGTTTGTTTCCATGTTTGTTCACTTGTTCCTCCTCCACTCAGGAGTAAGTTTTCCTTGGTTCATACTTGCCCACAAATCTCAGGAAGCTGGGATTCCTGAAGACAAGTCTTCTTACAAGTAAAGGTTGAGGTGAAGCATAAACTGAACAACTTGACCTTCTTCATGTCCCTTGTCATCAAATCCCCTCCCTCATTTGGCACCAGTTCCATATCTTCTTTTGTGTTCCTGTGGCTGATTATGTACTTACAGGCCACTTCTTGCTCCAGACATTTCTCACCACATTTAACTCCAGATGTGCTTTGACTATCCTAGTCCTGCCTGTATGTTTAGATAGTGTTGCTATATTACTCCTGATACACTTGTCCCTGCTTTCATATATGGTATTCTTCTTTCTTGTATGTAAGATTTGTCAGGAGCTCTTTATTCCTTCAGACAGGATCTGCATAGTGTGGTGTGAGAAAACCCATCACTTCATTCTTATTAAAGCTGATTGTTAATAAGTTTATACTAGTATCCTCAACGTAGACATTGGAATTGAACACACCCTCAACAAGTCTGCAGATGACACCAAGCTAAGAGGTGCAGTTGGTACTCTGGAGGAAAAGGATGCCATCCAGACAGATTTTGACAGACTTGAGAGGTGGGCCCATGGAAAACTTTGTGATGTTCAGCAAGGCCAAGTGTAAATCCTGAATCTTGTCTAGAGCAATTCCACACATCAGTACAAACTGGGTGACGGATCAAGAGTTCTGCATGACCTAGCAAGACATACTTGCAGCCCAGAAAGCCAACCAAATCGTTGGCTGCATTAAAAGAAGTATGAGCACAACAGAATGAGGGAGGTGATTACCTCCCTTTGCTCTTCCCTCATTAGATTTCACCTGGGGGACTGGGTTCTGAAGTACAAGAAAGATTTGGAACTGTTGAAGTGGATCCAAACGAGGGCCACATCATTCATCCCCAATTCTACCTGAGAAATTAACTCATATAATTCTCTTATTTGTATATCTCTATTGTAAAAGACTGTAGGAGATCCTCATAATGCTCTTCTAGAAACCATACTTCTTATTTCTCTTACATTCACTTATGATTGAAATATATGCCAAGATAATTGAGTATTTTGGAGGTAAAATATGTCTAATAAGCAAAATGATTAAATTTTGCAATATTATACTTTTTATGTCAGTCATTCTTGCTGTATTTTGCATTTTGGGTAATGTTTACGTAGCTTCAGTTTTGTCATGAGTCAGGAAAAGATATGCCATTTACAGTCACTAGTAAACTAAATCCAAAAAAATGCTAACACTAGGTATGAAGCAATACACATATTTTGCAAAATAAATCTACTTGTTACCATGTTTTTACCATCTGTTTGACTTTAGAAAGCATACAACATTGTTATCCATTTGGACAGTGGAAGTGGTGTTATTAGAACTGTGAAGTTACAAGTTCTAAGCAGAAGTCAGACTGACATAGATAGTTGCCATAATGAAAATGATTTTTATCTTGAATTTACAGATCATTCTTTGAACTTAAGTTGCTGTGTGTGGATTAGTATAAGGATTAATGCATTTTCTTCTGTTTTTTTTTAACATTTTGTTTGTATTTTATCTGAAATTATGAATTCTGTCTTCATAGATATCACAATTATGTAGATAATTTGAAAGAAAGAGCATTATTTCCATTTCCTTATGCTCCTTTTGACATTGAATATATTGCCCCCATCTAATGCTTTTTATTTGTACCAATTTCAGTAAGTATAAGTTTCAGGGAATCACTCTTACATGGTGTTTTCTGCAGTATCAGAAAATTATGTCAGTTGTGTGAGCTTCTAAATTGGTCTTGCTCTGAACAGGAAGTTGGATTAGGTGAACTCCAAATGTCTGTTCCAACATAAATTACTCTGTCATTATCTGAAAATAGCTTGTCATATGCTGTGTTCATACTGTACCTTCTTAACCAAAACTTAGGAATTACTCTTAGCTAATATTTACAATTAATTTAAGGAGTTAGAGTTTAACCAGATAACTGATATATACAAATATTTTCTTCATACCATAGAGTGTACTATAGTGCCAGGCAAAAGCAGTGTTACGTGGTTCCTCACAATTTTTCTCAGATTGTGGAATTGTTAAGACAATATAGAACTGTGTGAAATGATGGTAGGATGACTGAGCATATTAAAAAAAAAAAGGTTATAATCACAGACAAATATCTGGACATATGATCTGGTAGAAAGGTCTCCCCACTCCCACATCTGTCGCTATTGCATTGATCATTCTGAATTCTGAAGATAATTCTAAGATAGCAGGGATCTGTATTTTGGATCTATGCCTCCTAGATTGGATTATCTGATTGTTTTGTTCCGTCTTATAAAAAATACATTGTTTATTCTAATGCTATATTTCTTTTGGTGTCTGCAGTTTCCTTAGAGCTTTTTTTCCACTGGAGAGACTTGCAACAACTTACATTTACACAGCTTTGATACAGCTTTGATAGCCATGGGTTGAATTTCCAGCAGCATTTCCTAAAAGAAAGTATTTATTATTTGTAAAGGCTCAGTTCATGTTCTATGACTGAAATTCAGAACTGCAAATAGCAGTATTTTCTCTCTTTGGGTACCTATATCTTCTAACAATCTCTGGTGACTTGGCTTCAGACTCTGATACTTTTCTGTCAGTCTAATAATTTTATTTGTGTTTCTCAAACTTCTTTGTGTTGCTCTATAACTTTTAATCAAAATTAGTTTTATGTTTGCACTTTCCTTTCTGTTTTCTTTCTGTGTCATCTGGAATATCATCAGTAATATGCAAGCCATAAAAATTTAGCTGCTGTGAAATGAAGCCTTGCAAGTCTGCTTTGTACCTGCAAGTTCTGAATACCAATGAAAATGAAGTGCATGTGGTGTTTTTGACCACTGAAACCTGACTAAATTAAATGAATAGAGCCAACAGTTCCACATTTTCATACAGTAGTGCATTACTAGAGTAGATCTAATGATGTGGTAGGTGCTCATTAGGACACTGAACTAGGCAATAACAAAAGGCAACATTGAAATACCCTAATATGTGGAATTGAGAGTGTTAAATAGCATATACAATACCAGGTGAACAACAAAAAAAAAGTACTAATGATGAATTTACACTACATACATGTAAAAACTTTTCAGTTGTAGAGCTCACTTTAAAATAATCTTCATTTGTACTGTTATTTTTGCATTAAAATAAACGAAACAAATCTTCCTTGTCCTCCATTTGCACAAGCATATTCACAACTCTGTCTCAATTACATCAGTTTCAAAAGAGTGATAAAGACAAATCTTGATACGTACATTTTGAGAAGTTGAAAAAGATGTAGAATAAATCTGCATTCCTAGTAATAGGTATAGTAGTGTTTAAAATTTCAGCCTTACTAGTGCAAGAGCAAACATCTTCTTTGATGAACTTTCTGCAATCTGAATTTCTACTTCAACCTGTTTCTTCTGACTTGTGTCCTGTTTCTCTTTTTGTATTTCTGTCAACAGAAAGCTGATCTTGCAGTTGCACCGTTGGCAATTACCTATGTTCGTGAGAAAGTCATCGACTTTTCCAAGCCGTTTATGACTCTTGGAATAAGTATTTTGTACCGCAAGCCCAATGGTACAAACCCGGGCGTCTTCTCCTTCCTGAATCCTCTCTCCCCTGATATCTGGATGTATATTCTGCTGGCTTACTTGGGTGTCAGTTGTGTGCTCTTTGTCATAGCCAGGTAACATGTCAACTTTTGTGATTTTTTTGGCAATTGTTATAATCTTTTTCTTACTAATAATTGTCAAAAGTCACAAAACTTTCTTACTTTCATACTCTTATATTTTAAGTTTGTGATGTACAGAAAAATAATTAATGATGAGGGTTCTCACTATTAATTTTCTGCACTGCCATTCTAAGTGTCCAGTTTGTTATGCCACCGAATATTGAGGGTGATAGTTAGGTTGTATCTTTTATTTACAAATTCAAAGACATTAGCAAGTTTATGTAATGTCTTTTCTCATTTGTGCTGTGTTTAGAAAGAAAGGAACCAACACATTTTATTTTGTTAGTATAATTTTGTTTGTTGCTGTCTTGTTTAATCTCAAATTCAGTACTTAGCTGCCCATGTCAGTCCTTGATGTCCAAATTAGGCCACCACACGTTAAAAAACCAAATAAATTAACGGTATAGATTAGTGTCTTAGAAGTAGAGTAGCAGAATTAGTTTTTAACTGTAAGCTAGATAAACATTACATATGATTTAGAGTCCTAGATTGGAATATGTTCGGAAGCAAGTTTCCAGAGTTAAGGACCTCAATACAATTTACAATTGCTAAATTATAAAGTTATTTTTAAAAAGCAATACTGGACTTTCTTGCCTTTTAACTACTTTTTATCTGTTTTTCTTCAATATATATAAGCAGGAAGATATCTCTCATTGTCATAAATTCTCATTATATTTACATTTTCTTTGAAACTGACTTAAGATGCTCACAGAAACGTAAACTTGTATGTCATAACTTTGAGTCTTACTGTGACAGAAAAAAACAACAATCAATCACCAGTTCCTGGGGGTGTGAAAGTAATATTTTTTTGCAGATTCCTCCCAGAAGTCACTTTTAAATAGTTTTTTTAATCAAATAAATATAAACTATGCTGGCTTTTATCCCAAACTTACCTTTAATAAGAGATTTCTTTTTTCTTTTTTCTTTTTTCTTTTTTTTTTCTGTACCAATGATTTTTAGGAGCAAATGTTGCGAATAGTGTAATTTTACTTCAACCTCAAGATTTCATTGTTTGATACACAATATTTCCCTTCATATTTTCCTCTCTCTGTTGTGGTTGATGTAAGGGTTCTCCATCTTTCCTTGATGCTGTATGCTTCATTCCAGATAGGTTGTATTGTTTCTGTAGTAAAAAATGTAATATTTCTAGGAGTCATTTTATCAGTAATTTAGCAAGATCACTTGTATATGAAGTGCATGAGATATTGCAGCAACATAGATAACACTGAAACACATTCTGTAATGATTAGCTTTCTGTACTTTCCTTAGAAGTCTGCTTTAATGAGCCAGGTATACATTGAAAGTCCTTTGAAAGAACAATATATATTAGTGGACTGTATAACCAAACTGTAAACTCATTTCTGAGGTGTTTCTGTAATACACATACATCTGAAAGCAGAGAATTTACTGTTGACCATAAATCACAAATATTGTGCCGTGAAACATCTCGTGCAAAATATTGATGAGTATGTCCAAAAGTTTTAACCCTACTGTTATCACTACAGAACATTTTCAGCATGATGCACAGTGTTTTTGTCATGCAGCTCTCAGTAAGTTTTATGGCTAAGTTCTTGCTCATGCTAAAAAAAAATATCTTGTTACATTCTATAAGAAGGATGCACTTTTATTGAAACCTTTTTTAATTAAGGCATTCAGTCATCTGATCTCACTAATGCAATTGGAAAGAATGCTTATTTTCATGCAGAAACACCACATAGTATAACATTACTGTTGAACTTTTTTACACATATCTGTTTTTGTGACCAGCAATATAGAATCCTTGCATACTTGGAATCATTGTTTTTATTGTAAAGCCTTACCAAATAGATTTTATACTGAGCAGAGGAGTCTATTTTTGTATAAAATTGTATAAAAATCTTTTTATATCAGCCCTCAGATTTTCAATAACTTATGCTGCATGTTCAAATAGTCATAGCACATATTTAGAAATAAAAGATTTTGAATTTTGGATTTTGTAAGACCTCTTACAGGTTTTTTTTTTTTTTTTTTGTAGTTAAGAGCAACTTCTAATATGGAATAGCATTTTCTAATACCATAGTTTACCATAGTTAAAATAGGGGGAAAAAAATGAGTTACGAATTTAATCTCTTGTTGAATAATAAAGACAGAAAAAGAAGAATTCAAAAGTTAAAGAACCTGCCGGTGATTCGATTTTCAAAATGTGTCTGTCATGTGAAGAGAAACAATGTTACCTGAAGTGTGATATTGAAGAGGATTTTGCAGCTTAGTTCTGTGTATGTATTTTCAGTATAGACTATAATTTTAGTGTTACACATTGGTGTACTTTTCAGTCCTGATTTTGTGGAACTGTTGGACTGTATGCAACTAAATTAATAGATTTCATCTAGATGGTCTTATTAAGAACATTTTTACTTCATAACAATCCTGTCATAATGAGTGTTTAACTACCAGTGTTTCATAATAATTATTATATGTTTCTTAATAAGTTTTATCTATGTTTGGACATTTAGTATGTCTTTTGTGGCATGATGTTCTGTAATTACATTTCATCAGAGTATTCAGTATAGAACACTTACTGTTAGACTTACATCCCTCTTTTTTGTGTCAAATGTTTTGTGAGCACACCATGGTTTTATTATTTTATTATATCTTTCAAGCAGTTCCAGAATGTAAGAGCTTGGTACATTGAAAGTAGAGAGCACGATTCTGTTTTGGTACTTGGAGATCACCTAATAGTTAGTGGTATGAGTCTATTTATGGAAAGATGAAAATTATTAAGAGGTTCAAGAATATTTGAGAGAGAATTGCTGAAAGGCTTTCATCAAGTAAGTGTAGGTGTAAAAGAAAAAAAAAAATTAATATACCTCTATATTAGTCTTTTCCTTTATCTGGAAGAGCATTGCTTTTTCCTTTCACTTTGAGAACTGAATGTAAAAAGCTGAAATTGTTACATATTCACTGAAACAAAGAGCAAGGAGAGAGATATGTTTGTTAGCTAGGAGGCTTCTCTCAGTCATCTATGTGGAAATTACGGATCTTGCATTCTGAATGGGATTAACTATGTAGTATATGGTGTTTAATTGTCATTCCCAATTGGGCATTATGGCTATGATTGCTCCACATATATGAAAATTTCTTCATTTTGTGTTGTGATTACTGAGTGTAAGTAATTATGCTGGTTAGTCTCTAAAAGTTCTTCTGTTTGTGATACAGTCTGGTGACTGATAAACCTGGTCTCCCTGGCACTACGTTCATTACTTTTCTGGGAATTACAAAAGTCAAGTGGCATTATCTTTCTTGTGGCAACATTAACAGATCTGTTTCTGATGCTAGATAGCAATGTCTTTGTGTCACTTGTAGCAGTGCCTTGCATCATCTGACTTCTCGTTGAATTTCTATTCCAATATCTTTTTTTTGCCTCTACGTTTGCTTTTCATTTCTTTGATTCGAGATCCCAATTAAAGTCACAGTTAGTGTATGATTAGAAGGAAAACTAGGGCTAGGGTAAAGCGCTCTAAGTCCTTTTTGGACTTCTGTCAAGTACACAACATCTTCTGATCTGTATAATGAAAAATGTTGATTAGTATTTCCTATTCATATTTGTCTGATGGTGCAATGAGTTGTTCCATTTCACAAGAAATGAGCTTATTTCATCAAAACTAGATGACAACTTCATAGACATATATATACTGTATGCTTTTTTTTCTTTTTTCTTTTTCTTTTTCTTTTTTTTTCTACTAGCCAGTATATACTAAGCAGTTGTTTCCTATTGCTGGCCTTTGCAAAGTCTGATGTACTGCCCATTCTGCATAGATATGATGAAGAAAACAGGTTTCATATATTTAAAAAAAACTATATATGTTTGATTTAATTATTTGGTCTTCCAAACAATGACTTCCAAAGTCAAACAAATAATCTTCAGTTGGCATATGTTGTACTCTGATTTTTGGAGTCAATTATTTATGATTTTACACATCTATGTCTTTTGAATCTTTTCTGAAAACCCTGACTGAATGACATTCTGGCTAAATATTTGTAGCCAATCATTTTCTACCTGATTTTCCAATTATTCCCTGAACATCTAAATATTCCTCTATTTTGTCAGGTCTTTTTGCTGTGATCATGTCTGTATGTCCTGACAGATCACAGACATTAATTCCAGGAATTAATTCCTGGAAGACAGACACATTATGTTTCACCCTTATGGATTAGCTATGAAACAAATAAACTACCCTGGATAAAATGCTCCACTAAATGAGATTTTATGTACCAAGCTCTCTGAAGTGAATCTATTGTGTAAATATTCTTAAACTGTGTTCACAACCTTAATTGCTAATATGGAATCATGCGTTATCATTTTAAAGGGCTCGATTCACTTGTCAGTCTCACGTTCATTCTGGTGGACTTCCTGCTTTTTCCTCCTTTCAGGATAATTATGCTATTCTACTTTCTGTTAGTTTCAGCTGTCAAAACATTTATTATAAAATATTTTTTCATTTTCTTTTAAGCAGTGATAAAAGCACAGTGAACATTACCTCATCACCAAATTTTTCTCTTATTTGCTGAAGTAAAACATAATAATAAATGACAAGAGCTTTAAAAATATCTCCACACATTTATCTTAATATTTTCTTTGTGCAGAAGCATAGGAATTCCATGCTTCTTCAGACTAGAGCAGATGCCTGAGCATTATGTCTCTCTAGAGTGCGTACATAACCTTTTACATCTCATCAGTCTTCATTTTTATTTCATATTTTTTGGCTAGCTGATTTCTGTCCTTGAGCTGGTCGGATTAATTTTCAAAGTATTCTTTTAAAACTATCTTGGTAGAAAGAAATTAATGGTAGAATGAGAGGGAACTCCTTTTTACTATGGAAATCTGGTTACTAAATTACTATGTCGATATTTATTCAAGGAGGAACTCAGCATATTTGCCCTTTATTTTTTACAACCATTATTCCTATGAGAATTTT